AGGCTATGTGCGTGGAAGATGAAATGAAACTGGAGATATTTGGGGACCATCCTGCGAGTGAAGTATACCGCCTTCGTCTCATGTGAGACAGTCTGCACTGTCTGCGACAGTGTCGCAAGGATATCTCAGGCAATCCAAGACAGACGACTGAGGTAGTTTGGGCATGTTTATAGGCGTTAGTTCGCCTCACGAGCTTTGCTTTTAGCGCCCTTGATTCGGCGTCGCAGCCCACCTGGAGGCGTCAGTCTCCGTCGCTGGAAAAGAGAGCTATCTAAATCCGCTGCCGCTAATCATCATGCATGGGGAGAGGGGTTTTATCCGTGACATCATTAAGGCCGGCTAGATCAGGCACGATCACAACCGTAGCAAGTACACCATGGATGTTTGCTGCCTGTCTGAGCTCTAAACCTTGGACTCAGTTGTTCGAAAATCAGGGTCCCGGCGGGTGAACTTCCACTACACCTTATATAAAGCAGTCGAAACAATCCTTCTGGTAGACACGGTGTGGCGATTGGTCTCTCGCAACAAACAGACCGTCTGTATACAACTGCGAACTCTTCCTCCCCAATATCGTCTATCCGCAAGGTTTTCGCGTTCCCTTCCACTTGTCTGCAGCTCAAGTATTTTTTCCGTCATGTCATTTTTTTCGTTTTTGATATTGTTTTGATTTGTTCCTGCTAGCTTCTACACGTCGCGGCCCCGCCGTATGACCCGCTCTTCCTGAGCGCCATTCACCCGCTGGTTTCTCATCCGCATATTTTTGACGGGTTGCGTACCGACCGAAACACTGACATTGTGAACGAGTTCCTGGGTATGTCCTTTGCCAATTAGCTGACGTCTTACCATATTTTTGGCTATTTACCTTGGTGGCTTTTTTCAAGACTTCCCTAACCGAAACAAAAATTGCGTTTATACCTGTTCTTAGTATGAATGCACTCAATACTGTTTATATAAATTTTCATGCATCACTGAGATTACTCAGCCTTAGGCAAAGACAGATGATTGATTTGCTTAGATGGCATTGTCGATATAGGCGAAACTACTTGAATATTCTTTCTTTCAAGCATAGTTTCCGAAAGTACTATGAAATGTATATTTTCACCACTACTACTA